AGTGGAAACGGTGGGGGTCAGGACGGAGACGGAGGCGGGGGGGGGGGGGGGAGGGGTCAACGGGTGTAAAAATCGACCTTCCATTGACGTGCAGTCGCAGTCGCACGCAAACAGTGGGTGCGGTATAAGGTTAGGGTGCAATATTTGACCTTCGATCGACTTGCAGTTGCAGGAAGGATTAGGGAATTTGGGAGATGCGAGACAAACAAGAGGCTTACATGCGGCGTAGTGGGGACACAATCAATGACATCCAACCGCACATTTTGGTGAACGCCGTGTAGGTGGTAATTTGCAAACGACGTACAGACTGTTTTTTTTTCTTTTTTTAGTTCAGGCTCAAAGAGATTGAACCGTTAGAAGATTAAGAATGCCAGGCTCAAAATGGAACCACAGGAACTCGACCACAAGCACAGGTGATCAGATCAGATGAGAATCCTACTAGTCCCCCTACACGATCGCTAATTGGGTTTCTCCGAAAGGGAGCAAGCAACGAGCCCCAGTCAAAAAACAAGATACGGCAACCGCTTCGTAAAATTTGCATGAACTTGTACAGTAGTCTTCAGCTTTTTTGAGGCTGCTACATACCAGTAGGTTGTTACGCCGAACGGAGTGTTCGCTTTCAATCTCAAAACTAAATTCATGCTGGGTGGATTTAGAGCACGGATGAACGGTCGCCGCCTGGAGAACCACATTGAACAGGGGACAGACTTGTACGTAAATATTTTTGCTTCCAGTGAGCCGGGGCCGGGGCCGGGGCCGGGAAAGAGAGAGGCAGAGAGAGGAGAGAAAGGAGAGAGGAGAGAGAGAGAGAGAGAGAGAGAGAGAGAGAGAGAGAGAGAGAGAGAGAGAGAGAGAGAGAGAGAGAGAGAGAGAGAGAGATAGATAGAGAGAGAGAGAGATGACAAGAACAGGCGTGCTGTCAACCATGTATGTATGTATGCCATCTACCCCGTAGCATGTGCAGTAGACTAAAAACTTCGAAATTGCATTTTTTATGGGTTTAGGAAGACATACAGAACAGCAATACTTTTGTACACAGCAGATGCGATGATGGCAACTACAGACGCGGATACATCTGAAGCAGGTCTTCCGTCTTCACAAAAAAATGATGGTTTGGTATTATGGTATGCATACAATGCGTAGACTACACGTAATTCGACCGACTTCTCTTTCGCTATGTGCTGGCGTATGCATGACAGCTAGTCTATGTACCAAATCAGAGACTGATATGCGAGTGTTTCCCAACTATGATTCTGTGTGCTGTGCGAGCGCGCAGCAGGATCACCGGGGGCCGGGGGCATCTATCTATCTGTTGTTGTACCCCTTCGGTGGTTTTCGGCAGTCTAGTCGCTTTGTGCGGGCTCTTCTGTTACCCGCAGGGGAGATGTCCCTACATGCTATCTGGGAAATCGTAGACATACAGGTACTTTCTGACGCTATGAATCCATTGCTAATCTGTCTCAGACTCTTTTCTATGATAGAGATGGTTTCGTTGTGTCATATCAAGAAAAAATAAAATAAAAATAACGTCCTGATATTGCCCGCAGAACCGAGGGTCGGCGGGCAAGAAATATTTTTTGTTGGTCGCGAACGGGCACACGTACGTCTCTTCGCGGTTTCGTGTTGTGCAGGCACGAACTGCATACAGCAGTTATGACTAGAAGTACTACTGCTGTAATCCACATCAAGCTGGAAGATGTCATGCAGCGTTTGCAATGCACAGCAGTCGTTGTAGTAATAAAGAGCTATAAGATCTGCTGTTGGACATTATTGTGTTGCAGAACCAAGGCCGTCTCTATTACTCTATCTACGTACGTACATTTATCTATATGCCTTTATTTCCGTTGCCTTTCTTTCTTTCTTTTCCCTGTTTCTTTTTCTCTCTTTCGTTGTACATTAATTCGTTCCTTCATCCCTTTTTTGACCGGGGTCGATCGCCTGGTTTGGAACCTTTTCTTAGTGTTTCCTTTTTCTTCTTTTCGTTTGGGTAGAAAAAACAAATCGCGCATGGGAGGAATTTTCTGGTGCCCAGTTTGTAGTTTTAGAAAGGTGTACCCCCCTTTGAGGCAGTTAGCTTGTGACCACGGAAGGCGCCAGCGTCAGTTGGACCAGTATGGCCATTGGGAGGTACTGAGCGGAGACCGGAGCGGTTTTTGCTCTGAAGACAATATCAACAACAGCAACTGCTATATGAGGATAACTTCTTCAGAAAAATCAAGGAAAATCACCATTTCCTGACGAAATAATGGACTATATTTCGAGTGTTTGTTTCAAGATTAATTTTTGGTTGTTGATCGCCAAGTGGAGCGTTCGTCTGACAGCGCGGTGGTGATTGCTGGCACAACAATTTTTGTCGGGGAGGACAAACACGAGTGCCTAAACGGATTTCAACCCACCTCGCCATCAGACAAGTTGCACGCGTTACCACTACACCGTGGATACTTGTTGTAGAATACAGGTAATCTTGCGTTTCTAAATATGCCATAAAGAAAGGCCTGGATGCTTTTTTTTTCACGGTCACGATTTTGTTTTTTCCCCGCCCACCGCTCAACGAATCTACATTTGTATGCACATGGTGTCACAAGAATCACAGGCCAGAGAGGACACACAGATAGAGCGAGTCAGACTGAGACCAACAAACAGACACGGACAGACACAGAGCGAGAGCGGGAGTAGAAGCAGAGTGCAAAACCAGACCGACTGTGAGGCTGTGCATCAGCCCTGTTATTGTTGTGTTTGCTGGGGCTGATTGGACCTCTTCGTTTTTATTTTTTTTCTTAATATTTTTGTTTTTCCGTCCGTCTACATGCGGCCGGTCGCCCCGGTGGTCTAGTTGGTAGCCTCGTAACCTTCTAGAGGTCAGGTCAGGGGTTCGAATCCCGGCGTAGGCGAGCTTTTCTTGCAAAGTTTTTCTCTCGCTTCCGCTCCTGTGGCCAAGTGGATAGCGCTGGTTCGTGTGTACACAGAGGAAGAGAGTGGTGAAGTGAACTCTTCTCGCATTAAAAATTGAAGGCGAAGTACCGCAGGAGGGGAGGGTAGAGAGAAGCTCTTCTGTGTGTGACCACGGGTTGGAATAAACGGCACTAGTGCTGTGAGCGCTGATTTGAAGTGAAGGACAAAAAAAATCTTTACAGTCTTCTTGCCTGCACGTAGGCAAACTTCAGCCAATTTCACGTGGGTGCCATCCACTCCCAACCATCGTATCAGAAAACCAGAGCCAAATTAATTCGGCTAGACGAAGAGTGCGAGAAAAATAATACAATAATTTCCGGGCAAGTGCACGCAATACAAAAAGTGCACCCAAATGTATATTATTGTGAAGCCGTTTGCATTATTTTTCCGTCTGTTTTTTTTTCATGATTCCAAATCTGCGCACCACTCCGAACCAGCACACAGATTAGTCCATGGATCCATGGCTCCTGTCGGTATGTGTAAATGCCATCCCGCCGACAGGAGTGGGGTACGACAGAGCGGAGGGAGGCGTCCTATCACTCTGGCCTTAGTGAGAAAAGAGGAAGGGCGGCAGGCAGATGATGATGACTTTTTTGCTGTATGCGTGATGGTATAGCCCAAGGGCGTGTGCGTTCTCTCAGCTGTCGGTCCAAAGCGAGTAGAAATAATGTAGCCCGGTGCGTGTGTGAGAAGAAAAGAGAAGTGGTTGAGGTTTGTGCCAAAATGCATCATCATAATGGTACGGCGGATGTACTTATATTTTACGTACAAGTGTGTGCTTGTGGGGAAATCGCAACACCTCAAAGTGTCGCGAACCGCACAATACTTGTTGCAGCATTCGCGCCCCCCGCCTTTGATACACCGGGCTGGGGGTGGAGAATGGTGACAGGGACTCAGCAACAGCAGCAGCATGGCATCACTGCCGTCCACCGCTCGCCCCCGCATTTGAAAAAAGCGAATGGAAGAGCGAAAATTCAACTCTCTTTTTACTCACCATCATCGACTTGAGCGACGCTGAGCATGCGCCGGGTGTG